ACGTCTAGTTGATTGCTTCACGAACAGAACTCGACGGAGTATAGATTGGGTACGAATATATACAAAGGACTCGTGACTAATTCGGGAGTGATCCCCATCGCCCTCCTTGTTTTCCATCTACATCAGTGATCTATGAACGAGTTCTCCAGTTCATTCGTTTAAATATGCTACGGATTATTTCTATCTGAGAACTTTCGAAATTCCTCAAGTGACCCGGATTGATCCTCATTTTATCAAAGTGTTTCGATGTATATTTACCCTCTCCTGGACCGCTTATTCCCCTGGCATAGACACACAACCTCTAACTGAAGAATACATACGGTTAAACATTGAAGATAAACCTTGGTCACAAACTAACTGTGGATATATGACGTTTGCAACAATTGTGAGAAGAAACTTCGAGGATTATTCTCTCAAATACGAAAGGACCTCCAGGCCAAATAATAATTTCACATTTTGTTAATCAATGTGTGCTCATCACTCTTCTGTTTTTGTTCCCCTGTAGTTTTACCAGTCTTCTTGAGAAAGATTTCGAAATTCCTGCTCAACCTACAAAACTGTGTGAACTGCACTTAGTCGAGTGTGTAAAAAGTTTACACAAAAATTTATCCCTCTTGAATCGAAATCGAGGGACAGTTCCTGTTTAATTGCCCAGTAACTTTGGATTTTGAACGGTTAATGAAGTGTTATTGGTTCATTCAATGAGGTGTAATTTTTGGTTGAAATGTGGACCTTTTGTCTACAAATTTGGGTTCCGCATCACTCTGCCACGTGGTTGGAAGCTAACTGCATATGTTCGAATTCGTGTGCTTGACTTGTTTTCGGATTCAATAAATAACCGTGTATTCACCCATCCGGGGTTTGTCTGTAACATCACGTTTAACCGAGTCACTCGCAAGCACGCACACAGACATGATTTTTAACACACGAGAGGTGCAAATCTGAGACCGGTTCGGCATTTACACTTGTTCCAGTAATACGCGGACTAGAGCTTTGAACCAAAGAAAGAAAGAAAGCACCTATAACCTGAAAGACAGCACGTTGGACTTTGTATTGAATCACATAAATACAAGTCAGAATAATAAAAAATCAAAATGACGAATGAGTTCCTTGCATCGACAAATGGTGGAAATCGGTTACGATATTATACGCGAAAATACTGCCCGCCGGAACTTTGATTGATCATTGCTTCGCTTTGTAATCGAGAGGCCGCTTGCGGTGCGAGACGAGCCAAAAGCGGTCGAACGGAGGGTTCCAAAGCGATAATGGAACCTGTATGGATAAAAATAGCATCACATGGGAACGATAGTCCAGTACGGAGGGGGGAAAACAGTTTGAAGGACTAAACACCATGCTCATTGTAGTGCACTCGTCTACAACTATCCTGTATGTCTGGGAGTAGATGGAAACATGAGAAACAGTGTAGTATGGTCACATAGACCAATGGATCTAACAAGATGCAAAAGTTCCCACATTTATTTCAAAACGTAAGAAAAGCACTCCTCCCCCCCCCGTCCCCTCCTGCGTCCACGTCCAACTTGATGGGATTTGAATCAAAAAGGTCGGACTACACTTTTGGGTCAAGTGAGGCTTTCATATTCAGTCGTGCACCCATGATTCAAAAGCGGACAATTGATACAACCAACTCTGAGATGAAAAACTGATTCCGAACCAACCACAAAGAGGCGCATGAACAACATCCACCTCTTCCGGGTCTGGAAGTGACCACAGACTATCATGAGCATTAAAGTATATTCAGCACCTTGGACGTTTGACTCCAACCAATGGGCGCATAAGCTGATGAAGTGGACGCCACCCCACCCGAATGGATTGCGACTTTCACGTATCGCTCCAGTGCATTAGCTGTTAAGCTAACTGGCGGTTCTGATTGTGAATCTCCTCCCCCTCACAGAGAAGTCACCTGCTTTGGCCTGAACAATCTGACAGCGTTCTGTCCGAGAGCAAATCATTAATTGATTTCTTTGTGATAATGACTGTTAAACCGTGATTTGTTCGTCATAGAGTCTGGACTCGGACAAGGGTGAAAACAAACAAAACATCTCGGATAGCAATCTTAAATGTTCGATGGTTAGTGGTGAGGTGATGATGCAAATGACGATTAAATCGCCGGACTCTGTAGGCAGAATTTAGAGACCTAGGTGTTTTTCACGTTCGACTTAACCGTGATCACCCTCCACCCCATTTGAGCTGCATCCAGATAGCCACGGAGTCTTCGTAGGGACGCAGTAACGAAAGGCGCAGACAACACCGATTAGCTTTCTTAGTTGATAATCTAACCTTTGCACACCCATGTGCGAAATTAAAGATAACGAATTAGCGCTTTGAAGCGCCCGAACTACCCTCAACCGGGTTTACCTCACAGAACTAGCGGTGTGCCAAGGCATTGCTGCTACCTACCGGCGTGGAGGGGGGGGGGAGATCCTTGGAGCNCTTGGAGCCACGTGCGAAAGCTCAGATCAAGTCAGCTGAATATTCAGTAAAAGTCAGAAACCAGATGGATACGCCAAAGGGCTGTATTACTTCTCCCGTTTATCTCATAGCCCTGCGAACAATCGTAAGTAGCATATAACTGGAACCTGAAACCTTTCACTAAGCAAGGGATTCTTGTGAATGTTAAGCTTAACAGAAAATTTATTACGTGGTGAATCTTTGTGATGAAAAGAGAAAAAAATGTACAGTCGTGCACATACATTGGTGACATGGCCGAGCTGTGGTGGGCTTCAGATTGACCACTTTATTGCTAATAGAATCCACGGAGACCCAATAACACCGCTGTAAGAAGGTTGAGAGCTGGAATCATTCACTCCATCTATTCAGGATTTGGTATGCATTTGAGGTTTACAGTTTCCTAGACTTAATCATACGATAACTGCGCATGAGCCATTTCGTCCGCTGGTAATAATGGGGTATCAAGCTCCTGACATTTACCTGCTACAGGTATTGGTAAAATGTGGGTTCTAAGCGGAACCCCTGGTGAATAAGCTTCCTCGGACTGTGCACCCGGGCAACATTCTGCCTGCTTCGCGTACTATCATCACTAGTATTACTTATTGTGACCATAAATATACCAGTTGTATCACATCGATCGAATCGTTTGCTGTCTCGGACAGAAATGCAGTGGAACATCTTTGTGGAAAACAGTGCTTGGTGCATTCACGTTACTTTTGGATCTGAGGGTCAGCAGTTTCGGTCGCATATCGGAAAAAATTGTCCAGTCAAGCAAGACTGTGACTCACCTAAATCGCAATCTGGCGTTCCAACCACAGTCAAGAAGATTGGGAGCGGGGTTTTGCTGCTTGAGAAACTGAACTGGCAAATCTGAGCGGGTGTGTGAAAATTAACAGAATAAATGAAATTCTCTAAGCGGCGAAAACACGATTATCAGCAAATAGGAGATCTAAGTGCATATTGGAACTTCAGTGGTCCAAACTAAAGGAAGAACAAACGTACTAGGCAAGTTCAGCCTGCCCAACCCTCATTTAGTGCAATGAACCCAATCGCCATCTTTTGACAAGCCTACCGAAAACAAAACGAAATGTTCAGGGAAAGTCAGTAGTGACGGGTTCGATGAATAGTCGAATTGCAAACGTTTACTGATAAAAATGTGTTTAGATTTGGAGTGATAACACCAAACTGCAGGCAAAACCACTGGTGCATGAAAATGGACTAATAGTCAAATCGCCGAGTAACACGCGTAACTTGAGGCGAAAATGAATACATCTGAGGTCTGCATGACCACAGTATTGTGTTGAGCAATCCTACTAAATAACAAGGAATGCACGCCTGGGATGGTGCGGGAGCAAGATTGGGCAACAGTTAACATAATTCAGTCATTCATTGCAATGATTATGCGTCACAACGAGCTGGACTTTTCAGAACAAAACAATGGTGTAAATGGGAGGGGTCAAATAAAGTCCAATATTCCATTTTGGATTTGCGGCATCGATGAATAAGTAATGACCATTGTTCACTAACGTGGTTCACTCTGACACGTTGCACGTCTAACCTGGTTTAGCATGACTGGGTGACCAGTGAGCTACCGCAGAAGTTGGTGTGATTGCGTCTGTCTCGCCAAAATCGCGGGATCACACTGAGAAACCAATTCCGTACTCATCAGCCCGGAATATGACGGGTACACTTTTTTATTACACAATGTAAGTTATAGTAAAAGGGAAAATCCCCATGGACAAATGGCGTAATATAAAATGGAGAGTAGGGGAAAATTCAAGTAAGATCCAGTTTAATGATTCTGCGTTTAAGGAGGGTCAGGTTGTAAGTTTAAGGAAAGAGAGAAAGTGGTAGGGTGTTCCACAACTTGGTATTTCGGGGAAGAAAAGAAGATTGAAGCAGAGAAGTACGACATCTGGGAACTGAAATCTGATAAGGATAAATAGATGCCTGTGAACGGGATGAGCGGGTAAAAGTTGCAGGAAGATGAAATGTCGAGGTAATTTCCGAAGGACAAAAAACGAATGTCATATGCGTCCTTTTGTATGTTAAACACACCTCACAAGAGAGTACGAAGAGAATCTAGTCAACAAATGAGGGTTGAACTTTTTTGAGCTGACCAAGAGAGCAGGCGTCGTAATCTCTTGATGTGCGAAGGAAACACCTCAGGAACATACCGGATGCACTTGAGTGGTTTACAGTAGTATAATCGGGAATTTACTTCTCTGATACGCAACATGAATAAGGAATCCATTGCATTCGCATTTAACTCAGTTACTTGTGAGTAAGTAAATGTGAGTTAAATGCTAATTATCAATCCAGCCTTGTAGGTTCGTTGGCAAATCAGCTCGCAACCTGCACGGATGTTCTGACTTGGTGGGAGGCTTTCGATTGGAGTTAACAGATTGTCATCTGTGTCTCCCTTCGTTGCTGTCGGGCCAAATGAACTAACTATCACTGAAGACGACACCTGAACAAACATGAATTGGCAATTTGATTCAGCCATGGTATGAGCTGGTTGGCACAGTGGTCACGCACATACTTCCCACGCGATTGGCCCGGAGTTCAAATCCCGTACGGGACGGTGGATATGCACTACCGATGAGCTCTTACAAGAGTGAAACTCGATTCTAGTGCTTCCGAGTGTATGGTTGAATCGCTGAACTGAGGATGGTGCGTGAATGTGCAGTCCGAAGGATAGTCAGCTCAAGTCAATAAACTCTATTGTATGTTCCAGACAAACTTGTTGACCAACTCGCATGAGAGTCCTCACACAGAAGACCAACAGAGTGAGGTTGAAAAGATTTCACAATCCTGCTCTGAAACTAGATGGTCAGGAATTAGTTGGAGTTGACTGCTTATTGTACTTGGGTATTTGGGTAACCAACGACAGTAGCGCCTCAAAGGAAATAATCGCCCGCATTTCCAAGGCTCGAGCAGCGCATGCATGCCTGTGGCGACGACGTGACGTTTCATTGAAGTTGAACAGTTGCGTATCCTGCACTGCTGTACAATCAGTTCTTCTTTACGGTTGTGATACCTTGAATTTGCGGTTAGACGGCATCCATCGACGATCGATGCTTACGTAGACTGGACCAGATGAGATGGAGTAATTCGTCGGCTTTTTGAGAATGCACCGAGCAAGAAATCGCTATCGCACTGAATTCAGAATAACAGGCTCCACCCGTTAGGACACGTTTGGCGTATATCTAACCGTGGACTACCGCAACGCGCCCTATTTACAGTGGCNCTGGAGAAAGCTACATGGAGGCCAGCAGATGACGGGGAGACGAGGCATGTAGAAATGCACAGAGCGATTAGGTAAAGTAGGTGTCTCTCATCTTCTGGGTTGGGATCTAAAAGACTCCGTGACGGAATGGTTGGAGACACTGGGTCATGGCAGACGTGGCGATCTTGATGTCATTTCTTATCAGATAGGAATGCTTGAAATGGTGTGAATGCACAGTTGATTTGTGTACTCTGTGTGTTGACCATAGGGATTTGTTTTCTTTCCTCATCCCTATTCTCCTAATAAAACTTAACTTACCTTGTATTCATTATGAGCTTGGTAGCGATCAATGAAGTTCACTTCACTGTATTCCGCTGTTTGATGATTAAAAGGTTAACGATAGAAGGCAAGGTATCAAACAGACGTAGGAATGTCTGAGCTATAGCCTACTTATTACTAGATACTCCACCTCGTGCAATGTCTTGAAAGACCAGTGTGACACCCAATGCACTATGACAATAGCTTTAATCCGTGTATTCATTCATTTGAACTTGATGGACAGCAGAACGAATAGGACTCTGAAACAAGACCCCTAATTCCAACCGAAACATAACCATAAAGCAGCAGGCGAGGCGAAATTAAGGTCTATCTGCTCGGATCGATTAGTCCTTCATTATTCTCATCGACTGAGATTCCGATGCGAGTCGAACCCTGTCAGGAAGACAAAACCCTTCCTTAACATCAGTCTATTACTATGAGAAATAGAAGTCAATAAGAAATCACCAAAGTTTGCAGAATGTACGAGCAGTTACATGAGTTTACAATTTGCTCAATTTTATTGATCAACTCTACCCTGGAATAGTCTAATATCGATTATTGCGCACATTTTCCAAAATTCTCAGGGGCAAGTCATGTACATATATAGTGAGCACGTTTTCCCATTGCAACGTAGAGTAGTTATGCAGGCTCAAAAACAATCTTTGCGCTTTCCTTGTCGGCTTCTGATTTTGGGAAGTCGGTGGTTGGACTTTTGGAACTGGACGTTTGAAAGCGTGGTTTGCGAGACAACCCCTCGACTGGAGCACCAAGAGACCGGATTTTGACCCACATCCCGGGCCTTTCATGTATGGTTATACTACCGGCTTGATAAAGGTCATCCGATATAGTTCATTCAGTCACATGTTTGAACTATGCATTAGTCTACGTCAAGGAACAACCATTTGTTGATGTAAGCAACTCCACTGTGACATTCTTGAAAACAAGAATCGGGTACCAACGAAACGTAAAAACTTACCACCATGTCTTGAAACCGAGTAACCATCCAATTCACAGCACCCATACCCAGCTTGGTTGCTTGTTCCAGGGAGCTGATGAACGCAGAAACCAAGCAGGGGGACATAGCCTGATCTGGCATTTCCTCGGTTGAGGCTGCACATACAAAGTAGATGAGAATTTGATCCAAACACTTACCGCTTGCAATAATCACACCGTCTTTATCGGACACGTACAGACCCACTACACCATCCACGCTAATATGGATATCACTTGGTGAATGTTAACTTACTCGGACAAAAATCGTTTTAAATAATCATTTGCGGACTGATAAAATCTGTGAGCTGACAGATGTGCAAACTTACTTCACTCATACTAATTTGCGCTCCAATTTGTTCTATTTCGAAACTGAATCACTCTACAAGCATTGACGAAAAAAATACTTATTATTCATGATGGTGGAAACCCGGTGGAAATCAAGATGTTGAGTTAAGCTCATTCACTGCGACATTTAACACCCAAAGAGCAACGAATTGTTTACAGTGTATCTCTATTGACATTGGTGCGGTATTGACCATAAAGGGTTTTCTGTTTAAACACCCATTAACGTGCGGCGGTTTTGATCGCTGTCTGTTGGTCACCCATATTAATGAAGCGATAAAGGGAAGAAGCAGAGTACTGGAAGCAGTATGCCTGCGAAGACAGAAAATTCATTTTAGGATTGAGTTCAGTTCAATTCAGTTTTTTACAATCATTAACCATGCACTTTAGTGCGCCGGTTTTAGTTACTTTCTTTTGGCTGCCCATTTGGATGAAGAATAGGAGAAGACAGGAAAGTTGAAGGTAGAGTCCAACAGAAGATGGAGAATTTCAGTGGTCTGATGTTGCGAGGAAATTGAGATGCTAAAATGCCACTGTTTACGAAACCCAGCCATATCACTCAGTGTCTCTAACCATCGGTTACGATTATCCCGAGGTCCCCATCCAGGGACCTATGTGACCTAGCCTCCTGGTTAGGGTTTTCATACTCTCGTGCCATGTCTTAGCTTGACCACCCTTGGTCTTATTCCAACGACTACTTGCCCCGGCGAAAATCGCTCAACCTATCTGGTGACATGCGTAAAACATGCCCCAACCAACGTGATATATGGAGGTCGACCACTTGCTCCAGTGGGCGACCGCCGTTACCCAGAACTCTGTCCCGAACCTCAGCATTGCTCATCCGGCTGCCCCACCAAATTCGTGCAATACTGGGTAGAAAGCGATGTTCGAACGCCGACAGTCCATCTTTATCGTGTTTCCTTAATGGCCAAGTTTCTGGGTCGTATAGCAGAACTGGCCGAACTGCTGCAGCACATACCCCACCCTTCACAGACAACCGGATGTCGCGACGGCGCCACAAATGCCTCAAGTTGGCAAATACCAACCGAGCCTTCTGTATGCGAGCTGACACTTCATCCGTGATGCGTCCATCGGGTGAGAAGTAGCTGCCCAAATAACAAAACTTATCCACTTGCCCTATTACTTCTCCGGTTAGAGTGAGGTTGGGGGCTGGACCAACCCAGTCTTGTAGTAACATTTTACACTTTGTAGGTGCAAAACGCATAACAAACATAGACACACCAGCACTATCCAGAAAAGCTTGCAACTTACCTGCATCTTCACTTAGTAGCACAATGTCATCTGCATACTCCAGATCAGTCTGTCACCTGGGGGCAAATCGATGTCGCTATCCTCGCACGAGGATGGGGCTATTCTAAGAATTAAATCTACGATAAAGTTAAACAGAAAGGGAGAGAGGGCAACTCTGTTAAACTACTTTCTGTAGTGACTTCGGGCGAAAATGTGCCGTAATCTCGGCTTCAGTTATTGGTATGAAGGCATTGTAATATTGAAATAAAGTTCTCGAGCACATCCTTTAGAATGAGGTAGCGTCAGAGTTCAGACCGGTCAACGGAATCAAAAGTCGCTTTCAGATCCAGGAAGACAGAGGTGAGTCAAGGAAAAGAACTTCGGTGCTCCAGAATTTGGTGTAGTGAATATGAGGTCAATACAACCTAGAATGGGTCTAAAACTAGCCTGGTTTCTTCACGCGTGCATTGCTGACGTGCGGCAGACAATCGTCAGAGTGTGATGCCAGTGAGAAGTTTAGAGATGATGTTGATTAAACTGATTTATCCGTGGTTTTCACAAGAGGACCTGTCGTCTTTCGTGTAAGTCGGTATGATCACCGATTCGCATCAGCTGGAACCTCGTCCCTCTCCCACACTGAGCCCAGGAGTTTTGTTAACTTCAAAACCAAGACTGAACCTCCAACCTTAAAAACTGATGGGACAGCCCGTCTGGGTCGGAAGCCTGATACCTTTTGAGATACTTTACTTTCCGGGTAACCTCTATTTCAAATGGATTGATGTGAACGGGAACAGGATAAAAATAGACTGTCGGTGTTCGATAACCGCTGTCTACGTAGCATTGTACGAGTCTGGTGGGGAAACAGGACATGCAATGCTGAGGTTAGGCGTAGAGTTTTAGGTAGTCGCGGTCGTCCACTGGAACAGGTAGTCGACCTCCATAGATTACGCTGGTTGGGACGTGCTACGCATTTTACCAGATAGGTTGCCATGGTGAACAATGCTTGGCGAGGCAGGTAGCGGTTGGAAAAAATGAAGGGCAGTCAAGCTAAGACCTGGCACCATCTCGTCCCCTAGAACGCAGTCAATGAATGCGAATCCCGGTTTCAGATCATTATTTTT